ATAGTACCCTGTGGCGTACAGATTTGCTCAGAACATGGCTATGGGTGAATACATTGTCTCCAGGACTGAGAGGGTGTAGTATTAAAGAGAAATCGGCGGGTTGTCTGTGAGCTCCTTTGCACATTGCATCACTACATTTACCGCAGGGTCGACGCAACGGAAGGGAATGGCTCGCACACATCACCCGAAATTTTCTCGTTCAGATTAGGGAAACCAGCAGTCGGCGTGCGTCTTTAAAACTCTTAATTTCTCGAAAATTTAGTTATTTAAACTATGGCGATATGCATATTTAATGAAACTCATCTTTCACACATGTTTGAGCTAAAAAATCTATAGGGTTCCATTTAAAAAATCGAAGTTGGGTCAATATCTCTGCAATAAAAAATACAATAGTATAATTTTATATGACCATATGTGCATCTTGTATATAGTAGTTTTAGTGAAACCCGCATCTCTGTATCTACAACGGTTCAGGAGAAACTTGAAGGGAACATCTTAGGTGGGTCACACGATATATTTAATTTGTGATTAAACCTCTAATATAAAATTTGATGAGAACAGTCAATTATGAATCCTTACTAAAGCAACAGAAGGAACATTATACTTTCTTATTGAAAGCTAAACATTTTAATTTTTGTAAAATTATTTCCAAAATAATAGTTATGAGGGATGTATCGCGAATTTTATTTTTTCTTTAAACTTTTGGTAGGAATAGTGCACTCTATAAGATGACATAAACGCTGTATTGCTCTACTCGTTTGCTCTACTCGCTCTACTTCTTTTGTTTTTCAAAAAAAATTACAAAATGGAAGTTTTTTTACTTCACTCACATCGTTAATATTTCATTAGCGGCAATTTGTTTACATTAATGTACTTATGAATACATGTGCCACATCTAGCCGTTTTCTCAAAAACAGCTCCAAATATTTGAAAATCTCTCACGCATTTAACATGCACATATTCAGCAATTTGTAAATACTATTGAATTTGTGACAAAGTACTTGAAATGACTTGACATGAAGGTTTACGAAAACTCAATAGTTTTCTGTTAAAAGGGGTTCAAATTCGGAATTTATAGTAGCGCTTAAATACCTTTTTCTTAAAAACAGCTCCAAAATGTTCAAAGAAAATTACCATTAGGACGAAGTTTTATGTTCTTTAATGTTCTTAAAATAATATAAATAATATTTCCGACCTACTATTAGAAAATGGAAAAATTAAGAAAAATTGTAAAACAAGTACTTTGGGCGCCGATGGATGGCAGCAGAAAATTTGTGTTACTAACCGACACCAAAGAAAATAGAAAAATAATATCGAAAATTCAGCATCAGAGATTTCCCCAAAAATTTCAGGCACGATGCTTGTTTCCGAAACTTCTTCCTATAAAATTATAAAAATAATCGGTAGACTAAACAATAAATATTCGACCGGTTTAGATAAATTTCCGGATTGTTTGTTAAAGATTTACGCACCTGCCATTATACACCCGTTAACTCACATATTTAATGTATCCTTATACACATAAATTTTTCCAGATATTTTGAAAACAACTAAGATTAAGCCGCTTTTCAAAAAAGGCAATAGAAATGAAATTCAAAATTATTCGCCAATTTCTCTTTTGTCGGTTTTTTCAAAAATATTAGTGACTTTTTACATACGAATAGAAACATTTCTTAGTAAACACGATTCGTTTTCAGATTGCCAACATGGGTTTCGAAAATCAAAATCTACGAAAACAGCCATATTTTCTTTTCTTAAAGATGTCGCTTCATGCATGGATCAAAACGAACCTATTGGAACATTTCTAGATCTTTCAAAAGCTTTTGACGTCATTAATCATAACATTTTACTCTCAAAATTACCTTCGTATGGAATTCGTGGTGTTGCTCTAGACTGGTTATGTTCGTACGTTAAACAACGATCTCAGAGAGTAGAAATACCTTACTGGAATAATCAAACATTATGTACACACCTTTCTGATTCTTTGCCAATTGCGTGTGGAGTTCCGAAGGGATCGATTTTAGACCCTACTCTCTTCCAACTTTACGTAAACGATATGCCCTCGACGATCAGTAACGGAAGAACAGTTCTCTTTGCGGACGATACGAATATTCTTTGCAAGAAAGAAACCGTAAATAGTACAATATCATATATTTCAAATTAATTTCGTAATAACAAATGAGAAGAAAACTGTTTCAATGCAGTTCTCTATTTCAAATAAACAGCTTGACACTTCACTGAAAATGAACGGCGCGCCATTGACTGATGTTAAGGTGACAAAATTTTTAGGTCTTTCAATTCAGTCAAACCTTAAATGGAACGTCCATTTAAATGAATTTAACTCTAAATTAAGTTCTTTATGCTAGGATTTCAGAATGATTTCAAATTCAGTCAGCCTTCACACTCTTCACAGCCTGCTCGTTGTGTATATTTCGCGGATGTTCATTCCCGCCTGAGATATGGCATAATATTCTGGGGAAATACATCTAGCTCCCAGACTTTTAGATTACAAAAACCAATTGTACGAATAATAAGCAAATCCCACCCACGTGATTCTTGTAAGCATCTCTTTATTAATCTAGGTATTTTATAATTACCTTGTCTCTTAATATATGAATCAGTGGTTTTTGTCAAAAATGACTTACATCAGGGCGGGAATATATTTTCAGCAAACGCCGTTGTCTATAAGTACAACACTCGACGTAGGAATCACATTCCTCAGGTAACAGAACCAACAGATCACTACAAAAAAAAATCAAGAATAATACATGTACATTTTTTACAACACCTTGCCAGATGACATTAAACGATTGAATTCGATACAAAAATTTAAGTCCCAAGTAAAATCTTTTCTGCTGCACAACTGTTTCTATACAATTAGAGACTATACTGAGCACCCAAAAGGAAAGTAATATTAATTTTTAAAATGACATTTAATGTATTATATATCATTTGGATTGTATAACTGTAAAGAACCTGTAACAAGTATTGTACTTCAGCTTGTGGGTCAATGGCCCCCATCTCGATCAGGTTTCGTCCAGTTTCCCTTATCTTCTAGCAAATGCTGAGATGGCCCCTTGTTTTGTTTCTGGTCATAAATGTAACTTAATAAAAATTAACTTCTCATTGAACGTCACACACAGATTTTAACTGTTTTTGACGCAAATAAATAAATAAATAAATAAATAAATAAATAAATAAATAAATAAATAAATAAATAAAAAGTCTGTGCCATTCTGTAGCAACATTAGTTCATTTTTGAGAGAGGTCTTATTATTAATTAATTGATGTACACATTTCCTCATATTTTTGCAGTGATAAACTGAATGCATGCTCTCAGAGTAATTTTTTGTGTATTGGAATTCCCAGATATTTGTTGGGAATGGTTTTGTAACCAAGGGCTACTATTATTCTGTATGTGGATTTCATATGCAAATGGGGGCACTTTGAACTCTTTTTTCCATTTAATTATGATAATTACTTATTAAATAATAATTGTTCAACTAGTCATAATACATTAATATAAAATTATGAACCAATTAATATTTTTCAAGGAAATTAAATATTTTTTTCTCTCCTTGACTAGTTTTCCTCCATCTTATCATATCATCAGTGACTTATCATACCATCTGTGTCATAAGTGACACTGTAAAAAGAGATTTCTGATGGTCATATTTGTATCACTTGGCTTGACATATATCATTACTAATAAACTTCATCGTCATTTTCTAGGCATTAACTGTCCATACTATTTTTTGTTCTCATGTAGCACCTTCAAATCAGTTTTAAAGCAATTCATAATATGCTACAACCACAAACAGTGGGTATTTTATTACAAACCTTACTTTCAACATACGGTCGATTATTTGAGCATGTTCACAACTGAAACGAAAATAAGCATGCAATTTTACAAGAAAATATTCCATCTCCAAAATTTAATAACATCTTAACTCTCTAAAGTCCGAGGTATTTTTTCCGTCCATAGCGCTCGGCCTTTGTCGTTGTGTTTGTGCGTATGTCAACTTCTGTGCAGACCAACCACCGTTTGCTTTATGCCGGCCTGTCCTTCTGATTTAACCATAGGCATAGAGCTGCTAAACACGATTTTAGATGAAGATTCGAACCGACCTAAGTCATATGTAGACCCTGGTCAGGAATGTACAATTCCTTAGCTATCACGGCTAAATCGACATCTGGTATAAAAATTTGCGAATTAGTGAAAAAAGCTGCAAATACGAGTTGACCAGAAATGTTGTTACATATATGTAACGTGGGGCACTAGAGGGTAAAAAGCTATTTGTCTGATCTAAACCTGACTGTTGGCCACTATTTGCAATATTGGCTTACATACACTGCAAGAATTGTATAGAAAGAATAACACTGTTCTCTCTAGATAGAAGATATATAGAAGAAGAACTATAGAAGAACACACCTCTCTACTGATCAACAAAGAAAAGATAGAAGATCTTCAAACTGACTATTTAGTGATTTTCGCAGGTGCCTCCTTGAGGTTTGGATCATCATTTTTTTTACTACCACACACTAAGAAAAGTTTAGAAAACTACACCCCAAAATTTGGGGTCATGGCATGCTTAATACCAATGATATAATACAAAATGGGCATAATATGTGAAGTTTCTATATCATTTTCACATCTATATCATAAATATATTATTTGCTTATCCCAGAAATGTAATAACACCTTACTTCTATTTCATAAATGTTATAAACTTAAATCGTAACCCAACTAATATGAGTGGTTGTTGTTAAAATATTTTGAGACCAACAAAATTACCACAACCCTAAATTTTCTGACCGGAACCCCTTTAAAATTCGTGTATAAAACATTGTGCTCATTTTTAAAGAGGTGAAATCTACTACGTCTTAGGGTGCAATTTATAATACAATTTTTTGATGATCTGGTATTGATTAGTAATCAAACCCTGGTGTTAAGTTACAATGAAAATAATTATGTTGGACACGTTCGTTCGTTTACTTACCTTAAATTTGGCGCTGGAAATGGTGAATCAGTTGGACCAACGTTCACCACTAATCACTATTTCCAATATTAACGAATGTTTGTAATATACGAGTCTAACTATGCCGGACACCATACAAAACGCTTGTATTATTATGTTCTTGATGTCAATATATTCATTTACACTGCTAAATGTACCCGAAGAATATCGTCGATTCTAACCTCTATGTGCCACTGGCACCGGAAAGGAGCTGGGAAGAGACTTCGGTGAAACCGGAGGTGTATCTTACAACTGTCATTAGAATATCAATCATGTTAGCGTAAATACTTAAATTTCGCAACTCAACCATCAGAAAATTCTGTATCAGTGATAAAAAGTAAAAATTTGAACAGTACAGGTGGATGACATTTATAAAACACGTGCATCAACACTTCTAACCTCATCTTCAGAAATTTTGCAGACGGACGACAACCGACGAGCACATTCTGACCCTGACACCTCTTTCGTGAGATTACTTGTGAAGGTTATTACCGTCAATGTGAAACTAAAGTAAATATGGACGCCAAGGAAATTAAAGCTGCCCTTAAAGAAGCAAGAGAAAATATTAAAAATAAAGATTTCAAAAGCGCTCTCAAACTTTGTAAGGTATTGTACCGGGTTAGATATTCCAAAAGTTATTTTTGCATCACTGTGCATGATCATGTAATTTTAATTGAATTACCATTTGCATATTTCAGAATGTATTGAAAGCTGACAGGAACAATTATGTGGGATTAGTTTTGTTTGGAGTTACATTGCAAGAAACTGACCAGAAAGATCAAGCCCCAAATGCATTTAAAAAGGCTATAGACGTGTCACCTAAACAAATTCTTGCTTGGCAGGGATTAGCTTCATTTTATGAGAAAGAAAAAAATGAAAGTAATTTAAAAGAATTACTGAAAGTTTACATACAGTTGTTATCTTTGGAGACGTATGTTATATTTAATTTTTTATTGGCTCTGATTGTGTAGATTTTAAATAATAAAATATGATGTACTTTTCTTCTTGCATTTAAGTCTTTATTTCTCATTTCAGTGATCTGAATAAATTTAGTGATATTTGCTCCAAACTTGTACCAGTATGTGCAGATGTAAAAGAATATGAAACATGTGTTAATGCTTTAGAACAACAAGAATTATCATCCAGTAAAGAACAAAAACATGTCATATGGAAGACAATAGTCTCTCTCTTAGACCAGAATAAAAATTTATCACCAGAATATACTGGATCTGTATGTGTAATACAAACTTCTGATTTTTACTTGCACATTGGTTCAATATTATGATTAGAGTGTGCACTCTCTTTCAGTTGGAATCAGCTTTAGAAAAAATTACTAATGATGGTTCATTAGAGGACACTGAAGAATATTTTAAAAAGTATTTGAAATTACTTTACAAACAGAAGAAACTTCTTGATTTAGTTGAAAAGTCTAAAGATATGCATAATCTGTATCCTAAGTCTGAATACCCATTAGAATGGATTTGTCGAGCTTATAGTGAACAGTTGACTATGTCCAAAGCTGCAAATGGTTTAGATGTAAATATTGATGAATATTATGAAAAGTTAAGTCAACTCAACCCAAATTCTAGTATGGTTATTCTAGCAAAAGGTGCCAAATTATACGTAGATGGTTCATATTTGGAGGCAATAGATTTGTTAAAGCAAGGTTTGTTTATTCTGTTTTCTTTTTTAATGTTGTTTTCTTGTACTTATTACATTTAATATTAACAAAGAATTTCTTTCTTTAGTTTTAAGTGTGATGCCTACCTCATATTACATATGGGCACTGTTGTGCCAGTGTTATTCGAGCATTTACTGCTATGTGGATTCTGAACATTGTGCTTCTGAAGCCTTAAGGTTAATGGACAATCAAAACATTTCAAATAGTTCTCTGCATTCAGTTGTGAACATAGTACTCATTAGATCTCTTAGTTACCAATCTGATCCATCAAAATTATTGCGAGCTGTAGATAAAGCCAAAGAGGTAAGACTTAATTTTCAATAATAATCATGCATCCTCTTAATTAAATATTCTATTTCTAATCCTCTTATTTTAGAATTCTAATATTCTTTTTTGTGCAGTTTTTGCTGGTTGAACATGGCAATTTGGAAGTAGTTTCTTACCTTGCCAGAGCATACATTGCTTCAGGTGATTTAGATTCAGCTGAGAAGTGTATTTTGGTATTAGAAGAACAAGAGAGTTTTGAAGCCATGTTACTGAATGCTTTGAAATTGAAGAAAGATGGAATGATATACAGAGCTCTCGACACCCTTAAAAATGCAGTCTCAATTTTCCCAAATGCATCAGAGCTATGGTTGGAAATTGGAAAAATTCACTGGGAAGAACAAAAACCTGATGCTGCACTAGCTTCCTTCCTTAAGGTAATTCCTTTACGAAACAGGATGGTCTAATATAATCCAAAATTTTACTCCTTTTTTCCCCTCTCTCATTAAGGATGATTTATGATTGGTGTATCTACAGTCCTCTTCTAGATGTAGCCTTCTTTATCTTGAATTGCCATTTGAGATGGAGCTAAAGTATAATGCATTTTATGAATCATTACTTTATCTCAAGAAAAATTGTAAATGGTTACAAACATTTTACTACATATATGTAGTTTACAGAGAACTGTTTAAAGTAAGCACAGGCAGCAGCAAGCCTCTGGGTGAAATGCCCAGATGAAGGTCATAGAAAGGTGGCCAAAACATTGGCACTGTGCTAGGACAACCAAGTAGCTACTGACTCTAGCTGTAGAAGCCTAAGCTTTTTAAGCAGAGGTTGGCCCGGAAAGTATTTCAGGAGAGGGGGCATATTTTTGAAATGGTTAAAAGGGTTTGCAAAATAATTTTTGATAATCAATATGTGGTAATTGTTTTCATTTCATTGAGTAAAATTTAGATTGAGGAGGGGACATGGCCCCCTCCCTTTCTACTGATTTCGCCACTTCAAGTAAGGCTCTTTAATTGCTCACAACACCTAATCATTAGTGTGTCTGCGTGTAATTCATGGGCTATTTATTTTAAATCTGATAATGATTTCACTTTGGAAATATAATCTATTCTTGCGGTGCCATCATGAAATTATATATGACTTATTAGTTTCTTTGTAGAAGGTCAAAACAATTCCAAAGTAAAAAATGATGTATTTTGTCATTCACATTTTTCTTCAAAAAGTATTGGGGGGGGGGGGAGGATGAAAATTCCATGAAATCACAATCTTTTTACTATTGAAAATATAAGGAACATATGAACACAACAAGGAAATATTTATATGAAGTTAACTTTTTAAACTCACTTTTCTCCTGTTTCAGCTGCTCGATTAATCCCACAATTACGAAAATTTGTGTACTTGGTAACATGCTACAGTCTTGGGGCCGAGACGTAGACAAAGCTGGAGATGCTAATCAAAAAAGCTTTTTCAATTAAACCCAGAGAAGTGAAGAAGCTTGGTGCGGATTGAGTGACATTTAAATAGAAGTCAGAAATAGCGTGGTATTTTGCTATGGCATTATTCATGTTGACATTGACCTTTTGAGAGTGGTTGTAGCAAGTAACTTATTTTTGAACTGTTTACAGGATTTAAATATTCTCTGACGTATGTACTCAGCAAGCAGGTCCTGGCGAAGCAATGGGCATGGTTGAGACCTAGGACTTTATCATCAAAGACAAGGGAAATCATCAAAGAAGGCGGTTGACAGTTTACGATGGCCGTCCGATGTGATCCTAGCGATAGGTAGGAAGTAAGAGATGTGATGTGCATAGCTTCTTAAATAAATTTGAAACAAACCTAGCAATATAAGACAAGAAATGCATTTAGGAAGAAAAGGAAAAAAACGCCTTCATAAAGACAGTGCAACTTCAATTGAAAATTTTGAAAAATAAGAATTGTGAGGGCTTGCCACGTACTTAAAACTTGCAGGATTGATGATCTTATAACTTACGTGTCTAACTAACGTGGAGCGTACATTTTCTAACGGTGAGGAGCACAAGTTCAAGAATAAGGTGCAAACATCTTATTAATATTGGCATTGCAGTAACGTAACATGAATGCTAATTTTGTTTAGAACAAAGTGTTTTAAATATGTTCAGGGAGTAGACTATCATTTGACTACAGCTGAGTTAAAACAACGGCCATTGTCAAACTTTGCAATTTCAAGTGGCCACTAACGCATCAAAATTGGTGTTAGGATTAAATGTAAATAAAGAATAAAAACTAATTCAAACTGACAAATTGTATTGGGAAGGGATTTAATTCAGAGGTATGCGATTGGCCATTGAAGTCCAATAATGAATTTAGTAGTTTAGCCCCATCATATTAAAGAAAACTGAACATTTTCTTAACTATGACCGGTATTAGTGTTTTTATAGCCCTCGGTGTGAATAAAAATGCAGAAAATAGTTTGTTTTGGTGGAGATGGTTGGCAAAGGAGCAGCCTGGATCACAGTGCCAAGCAACCCTAATAATTGAATCTTCCGCTTAAATATTCAGTCAACAATTTTAAAAACTTTTGTGTGCAGTCATTGTTGGGAGAGTTTAGCTGATGCATATTAATGCAAGAGGATCGTACACTTCAGCGCCTGAATCATACCAACGTGTAGGCGGAACTGACACCCTGAACATTATATCCTGCATATCAAGTAGGCATCAAAATTAAACGTAATATGCAACTATTACTATTACTCTTGGTTGGCAATGCCGTCATCTTTTATACAACTATGACCATTGAATGACTATCACCGATTATACACTAGAAAAATACAAGCTAATGAATTACTCTGGGATGAGTCACACTACTTTTAGAAGTCACACAAAGGAAAATTTTACAAATAATATCCAAACTAAAATATTATAGAATTTTTTTTTATCTAAGAAATTCATATCCCACCTGAATTGCTTAAACCAGTGAGGCTGTACTGTGTTTGTATTTAAAGAGGAACTAAACCTCCTGGATTAAGTGCACAATTTACAAAAGAAAAACTTCCGGTCAACAAATCACTGGAATTTGTTGTTGGGGTAGTTTGGGGGTATTGGAGAACCAAAGGCTGAGTGCCAAGCAAGTATCAAGGAACACATGTCAGCATAAAATTCACTAAGGAAATGTGTTGATGACTGCAAGGTTAGTTCATGTAAATGGCAGAGAATTAAGTTTGAGGCTCATTGGCCAAATCAGACAATGCCTAGGAAGCATTAATTGTCTTAAAGGGATTACCTTAGAAGATGTCCATTTCATTATTCAGTGACAATGGACGCAATCAGGTTGAATTCTTTCACTACCAGTAGATATGGGGGCGGTGTAGCTCATGAATTGATTTTAGCGCTATTTACTTATCGACACGAAATATGCCGAGTAATTGGTCATTGATGTATATGTCTCTGTGTTGAGGTAGTTCCTCTAAAGATAAGACGTGTATTCTTTGTACATATACCATAGTTCAGTTTCTTTTGACATACAAAAAGTTGGATTCTCGTAGTTATTGATATATTATGAATCTCTCTTGAAGTCCGAGCTGCGAGAATACCACATAATGAAATTCTTGACAGATTGATTTTCACACACAATAAATGCACTTATGAAAAATGGTTATGGCGAACTCAATATGCAAGAATACGAAAAAGAAAAGAAAGAGAAAGTCAAAATGAAATTGATTAGAAAAAAAATGAAATTTTTATACCCCACTATGTGAAATACTCCCATCCACTGCTCGCCAGTTCATCTCGACAATTTTCTACACACTTATTATCACCATATATAGACTAAAATATTAAAGTTTTCCCACGATATAGATAATTTTTCCACTGTACTAATAGTGATGATGTCTACATTATCTTTTTAATGCAGATTGTGCCTACTAAACATGTGCAAAATATATTAATACTTAAAAGTTTCATCGTCGAATTGTTCATCGTCCGAAATTGTTTCATCGTCGAAATATGTTCATCGTCCGAAATTGTTCATCGTCCGAAATTGTTTCACGTCCGAATTGTTCATCGTCCGAAATTGTTCATCGTCCGAAATTGTTTTCATCGTCCGAAATTGTTATCGTCCGAAATTGTTCATGCGTCCGAAATTGTTCTCGTCCGAAATTGCTCTCATCGTCCGAAATTGTTCATCGTCCGAAAATTGTTCATCCGTCCGAAATTGTTCATCGTCCCGAAATTGTTCATCGTCCGAATTGGTTTTCACGTCCGAAATTGTTCATCGGTCCGAAATTGTTCACGTCCGAAATTGTTCATCGTCCGAAATTGTTCATCGTCCGAAATTGTTCATCCGTCCCGAAATTGTTCATCGTCCGAATTGTTCATCGTCCAAATTGTTCATCGCCGAAATTGTTCATCGTCCGAAATTGTTCATGCCGTCCGAAATTGTTCTCCGTCCGAAATTGTTCATCGTCCGAAATCTGTTCATCCGTCCGAAATATGTTTCATCGTCCGCAATTGTTATATATACAGATACGAATTGTTCATCGATCAGATATAGGATCATCACGTCCGAAATTGTTCATCGTCCGAATTGTTCATCGTCCGAATGTTCATACGTCGAAATTGGTTCAATCGCCGATATAGATATATGATACCGAAATTGTCATCGTCGATAGTATCACGGTTCCGAATTGTTCATTCGTTCCGAAATGTTCATCGTCCGAAATTTGTATAGACCGAAATTGTTCATAAATCGTAGATAATAAGATAATATCGTCCGAATTGTTCATCGCTTTCCAAATTGTTTCATCGTCCGAAATTGTTCATCGCCGAAGGATTGGTTCATCGTCCGAAATTGTTCATCCGTCGAAATTGTTCATCCGTCCGAAATTGTTCATCGTCGAATTGTTCATCGTCCGAAATTTGTTATCGTCCGAAATTGTTCATCGTCCGAAATTGTTCATCTCCGAAATTGTTCATCGTCCGAATTGTTTCATTCGTCCGAAATTGTCAAATCGTCCGAAATTGTTCACGTCCGAAATTGTTCATCGTCCGAAATTGTTCATGTCCGAAAATTGTTTCATGTCGAAATTGTCATCGTCCGAATTGTTCATCGTCCGAAATTTGTTCATCGTCCGAAATTGTTCATCGTACAAGATATTTTAATCTGTATTCAAAAAGATAGTTCGAATGTTCTCCGCGGATTCCCTAAGTAAATTTTTTATACAAAACTAAATTTATCCATTTATTGTTATAGCTTATAGGGAATGTTCGAGTAGTCGTACGAAGATTGAGGAGTACATTTCATGGTGTCAGCTAATCCAAAATCCGTACGCTCCCGAAGCACTCTGGAATAACGTCCACGCGAACAATAATATGGGAGGAGATACTCATAATTCTTCTTTGTGGCGATACCGAAGTACACACTCTGTTTATGAACAACATGCGAGGCCTGTGTCGGGATATGTGTCCAAAACGTCGTGGATGCTCCCGATCAACTATGGTGTCTTAAATATGGATTAAAATATATTCATAGTAAATGATGCAAGTGTCGTATATATATTTATACTTAGAATGCCACCATCGTATGTTAGGTGTCTATGCTCGAGTAGACCGAAATAATATTGTTCACCTCGTCGAAAATTGTTGAGCAATCTTTCCTGTTTTATGAAACTGTTGGAGATGTTTGGCACATTAAATGGCAGAAATTACCTGAATCGGAAAGCTTTTCTTTACGTTAAGGATGGCAACTGTTCATCACCTCAAAGGTGAAGCAATGACCAGGATGTGAGTATGCTGCTACAGAAGGAGCAAGTTCTACAACTGGGTGCAAGGTTAAAATACAAAAGCATTGTACTCTAGTTTTAAACTAATTAAATATACTACTAATAAAATTTGCAGAAGTTTTTCTCTATCAAATCTGTTGGAAGTTGCATAAGCTCTATAAAAATATGGGTGTTGAATTCTTAAATTAATGCATTTTTAAAGGTATTAAACCTGGTTTCTTTAATATAAAGAATTGAATTTTAAGTATTACAATCCCCATTCATTCTCCAATTAATATTTTGTTCTCTCATGTATTGGAAAGTTGCCTTCTTCAGTTAATTTAACCAAGCCTTTTATACTGCAGTACGGTTATCATGATTTTTTAATAAGTTTATTTTTCGAAAGTTGTAAGTTGCAGCAATCAGTAGTGCAAATCCTGTTGGTAAAAATTGTGATAGTTAAACTGTTTTATAGAATGACATCCTATGTTCTTCATCCTCCACGCAAGTGCTCACACTTCTAGATCTTTATCAGAGGTTGATGGAGGTTTCATGGATGTACTATTAACACAAATTTATCTTGAGCCAGGTGTTACTGCCGCTCACTGAACAATTCAACAGAATTAGTCAGTTTGCTGTGGGCAAGACCTTGGCAGTTAATTAACAATTGTCAGGCAAATTATGCATCTTCCGCCATTTACCAAAAAGCAACTGCGAGAGTGGGCTCTGATGCCGCGAAACAGTGTGTTCTCTATGGTAGTAAAAGCCAACCAGACTGGAAACATGTTGGGAGGGTTGCTGCTTCAACCTGGTTTGGTAATTGATGCAATACCGCTTTTATTGATAAATTTCTATTCCATTTAATAATTTGTGATTCTTTGACAGAAATCAACAACTTGAAGTTAGCTCAGCAATGCATTTATTAAGTCAATTCAAATAGAAACA